GGATTCAAATGCCCCAGAGAGCCCCAGCCCCTCTGGCAATCTCAGGCGATAACAAAAGGAACACAGACAATAAGTCTCCTCTGCCACGAGTCGTTGTGGCACGATGCACACTACCAAACACATCTGCATAAGAAACCATCTCCACATTCTTATATCTTTGGAACTGATTTTAGGAGATGGAGCATGGGTGAGGGGATACAAGGAAGAAGGAAGCGAACGGGTTCGTGCGAGCCGCTGGATGGAGTGTGCCTGTGTCTGGGCACCGGCTGGCATAAGCTTGCTGGCAGCCTGATTCCCCAAGCCAGCCTGGTGGTACGGGTCCAGGCAGGGCAGACAAGTGGAGGCAAGGCCAGGCCGGCACACTATAAGGAAATGCTTTGCTTCTTCACCCCATCCCAGGCTCTCCCACGAGCGCTCCTGTGTCCCTTTATCCTTCACCTAGTTTCCTTGAGTGTTTCCATCGTGAATTCCTCATTGAAACTGCCAATTGAAAACGTCATCTACCAGTTGCCTGCTCAGTTAGATGTTTCTTCATTGGGGAAACTGAGTGGAGGACACGAGCCTTGTCTCAGGCTCTCTTCACCTCCTTCCCTCAAGTCAGGAAAAGCATTCTTGCTCATTTGTTGCTCCAAGTGGCCAAGGAGCTACACCATAGGGAGGTAGACATGTGGGCTCTGCTGCTGAGTTGTCTGTGCATTCCCCTGCCCCGGCCTCATATTTCCCCATGTGAGTTAAAGAGAGTGAGGGAGATCATCTCTAAGGATGCTTCCACTCTTGGTGTGTGGATTCTAAAACAAAGACTAAAGCTGCGGGCATGGTGGTTCACTCACCTATAAATCCCAGCACTTTGGGACGGCGTTTTTTTTTTTTTTTTTTTTTTTTATCTCACTAATGTGTTCTTGTTTTCTGACTTTGTTCTTTCTACTCTCGATTATGGTAGAGCTCAACATGAAACCCTTGGCTCTTCTGTGATTGCACTGTGTTCTTGGATTGTCTTTGGCGCTGGAAAGGAAGGGCATTGTGCATATTTGGTGGGGGGGCTCTCCCGGCCTGCAGGGTACCTCCTGGGATGGGCTGGTTTGCAGACCACCACATGGCAGAGACCCACGGGGGAGAGACCACCAAAGTTAACATGCAGGCTGGGTGCCTGCTGCTCCCCTGACTCACCCCCCACTGCCTAGTGTGGGCTGGTCCCTAGGAGGGACCTTTGTGTCACTCTGAGAGTTGCAAGTACTTCTCTTAGAATTTGGATCTACAGTAATGGCGGGCATTTGAGCAGGATGGGAATTGTGTAGGATGTTGCGATTGGAAGCAGGGATTGGAAGCTGCTGTGAGCTGTATAACGTCTGACTAAATCTCACTCCTGAGCGCTGGGCCTGAGAAGGTCCTCCTGGCTCCTCTTTTGACACCTGTATCTCTTACAGTCAATAAAACATCCTCAGATGCTGCAAGCTGAGTGGACTGTTTTGGTTTTTTTATCATGTTCTATCCTTCCCAGGCCACACCTAGTGAGTCTAAGTGTGACAGGTGGAGCTGGGCAAGGCTGGATTAAACATTAATGCAGCTATTACCACAAGCCAGATGAGCAAGTGCCACCAAAGCCAAGCTGCAGAGCTACCTGGTATCTCCAGGCTGGGGAGCTGGTGACCAGCAGACATGTCTCAATTTGCCCAGGTCCTGGCTGAAATAGGTGACTTTGGTCGCTTCCAGATACAGCTAATGATCCTGCTGAGTATCCCCAACTTCCTATATGCCTTCCACTTCTTTGCCCAAGTCTTCATGGTCCTGGACGAGCCCCACCACTGCTCAGTGGCCTGGGTCAAGAACCACACTCTTAACCTGAGTGCTGCTGACCAGCTGGCGCTGGGGGTGCCTCTGGATGCTGCGGGCAGCCCCGAGCCCTGCCTCATGTTCCGGCCACCCCCCGATGGTGCCAGCCTGGAGGACATCCTCAGCCACCGCTTCAACCAGACGCAGCCTTGCGATATGGGCTGGGACTATCCTGAGAACAGGCCCCCGTCCCTAACGAAAGAGGTAGGGCTGTCCTCCTGCCTGTCTGCCTGACCCTTTGCCTCCGGTCACTGGCTGTGTCTCTGTCTGTGCCCCGGTGCTCACATGGCTGGCCATCAGTATGCGTGTTTTTCTTTTTGCCAGTTATCCTGTTTTTGTCCCCTGCCTGTCGGCCCTCCTGCCTCCACCTACCTCTCTGTCATTTCCTCTGTCTGGTCTGCCTGCCTAGATGTCTGTCCATTTTTGCCTGTCCTTTTGCCTGTCCCTCTCTTGGCTTGTATCCAGTCTCCGGCCTTCCTTCCTGTCCTCTCCTGTTCTCCTGTCTTTATGCCCTTCTCTCCATCCAGTGTTCTCATCTGTCGTTCATTTCCTGTGTCTTTCAGTCTGCCCTGCACTTCTGCCTGGCTGCCTGTCTTCTGTGCTGTCCTAACTCTCACACTGTCCCTCTCCCTGTCCACTCTCCGGGCTGCCTGTCTTCTGTGCTGTCCTAACTCTCAC